TGTGGAGTAAGGAAACTTGCCCAAGGTTTCGCCCTCTGCCTGGAATTGAACTCAGGTCTCTCACTTGCAAAGCGAGTGCTCTAACCACTGAGCTACAGGACTCCACGTACCAAAAGGTTATGGATCCAAGCCCCACGTTGGGACTTTGAACTAAAAGTCTAGGCTATCAGCAGTGCTGGTGGGCGGGGGAGGTGGGGGAGTTGGAGGTAACAATGCTATACAGTGGAAACCTGTTAAGCCGGACACATCAGGAATGGCCATTTTGTCCAACTTAGGACGAGGAGGAGGAGCTGTTGCTGAAGTTAAGCCCAAATTCTCTTGCCTGTTCCAACCAAGCAGATGAAGCACCTCCTCACTCCCAGCCCCGCCTCCCTCCCATTGCCGTTCCCATTGCACGGGAAGGTGACCAATTTGCGGTGACTTAGAAATGACTGACTTGTAAATAGATAGGCTCCACCCATTCACAAGTGCCACCAGCTGTCAATCAGTTGTGGTTTGACTCCTCCCATTCCTCCTGGTTCCTCCGCCCCCCCCCCTCACTGATTGACAGCCCAACGCCAAACATTTGTGAATGGTTGGAGATCTCTGTCAATCAATCTTACACTCCTCCCATCTATATCCTGGAGCCACTCCACACACAGAAATCCCCAGTGAGTGCATTGGGTGGAATGTTAAGGATCCCATGAGCCATTCAGTAGGAGTGGCTCCTGGTGTTCTGAATCCAGATGACATCGGTCAGTCAATTCAAGCTGTTTTGGGGACATTGTTAATTGCAAATTGGCTGCCATGTTTACCTACAAAATAGTCACTATACTTTACAGTAAATACTGACAGAGATGTCCTCCTGACAAGAATGATACTATACCAAATGTAAGGGCTATTATTATGATTAATTAACACTTGGGTCAAACAAATTCTTCCTTCTCATTCTCTAAAACCACTGATTTTATTCTACAGATGTTGCTCTGAAATTCTGTACTACAATCATTTGAAGCTCCAATGGCTCACTTTCTCTCCTTACTTTCAGCTTTGAGGAAATTATACATTTAAAATGTGAGTTTAATATGACTTTCGTTATTTGTGGTTCAGATTTTAATAAAGGTCATGAAATTACTGTCTCCTACCGCTATGTGGCACTGTAGAACTAGTACCTATTTTCCAGCAACAGTGATCACTCCATCTCCTAGTCTTAGCCTGAAATACAATTTTAAATACAAATTTAAGGTTGTGCAGAATCGTGGAAAATTCTTAACTTCAGTAGTAATTTTGAAGTCTGTTCTTGTTAAGGACTGTGGAAAAACAAATTACAATACAATACAGATTTGTATCTATATAGCGCCCTTTCATATCAGGAGGTCATCCCAATGCCCTGGACAGTCTTAAGGTTTGTATCCAAGTGGGAGCTGAGAGGGTCTGAGCCGAGGGGATGTAAAGGTGGCCAAAAGTGTGGTCAAACGGGAAGGTCTTGAAGCGGATCTTGAAGGAGGCAAAGGGATTCTGGGCTGGAGTTCCAGATGGTGGGGGCAGAAAGGCTGAAAGCCTGACCAGTGTCGGTGGGTTGGGTGGATAACTTAAAGCAGACCAGTGCCCACTGAGCAGAGGTAGTTTTGTATATTTTGTATATTTTGAGGTCGCAGAAATAGTGGGGTAAAACCATGGAGAGATTTAAAGATTAGGATGAGGATCTTGAACTTAATCCTCTATCAACTTAAAGGCTCCATATAAATGTAAATTGGTATTATTGTTAGAACCATGTCCATAGGTAAGTTGCATGGGAATTCATAATAATAACCCTTGTATTTTATATAGTGCCATATCGTGTGTTCGAGACATCTCGAAGCACATCACAGAATATACTGTATGTGTCTGATTGTATTTCGTGAGAAACTCGAAATCATTTGTCAATGTCAATAGCTACATCAATAAGACTCAATAAAACTGAACTAACAACTTAAACCACACAACTCAGTGAAACAATAACCTGCTTTCCTGAATTATTCGAGTGATTCCACAGTGCATGGTGCAAACATTGTCTTTGAAATTTAACATAACTGCCTTCAAATGAATTACAATACAGTATTCCCTAACCTGAGCTATTCACAGCATTCCATACCGTTCTGTAGTTTGTATATGCTCAGCCTTTTATCTGATACCTTGACATTTCTGCTGTGTCTTGTTATCTTTCTGGGCGGTATCTGGTTTTCACTGCTGTGAAGGTATCATAGTTTTTTTCCTCTTGATCTATCTGCTGCTCGATAAGAGATTGCTCCCTGTAGGAGATAATACACTGGGAGCTTTTAGCTTGTGCCTCTGCAGTTTCTCCCATCTTTTGTTTGTCAGTAATTATGTTTTAATTTTTATCTTCAACTGTGGTTTCTTGTCACGGTTATGAAAACAGTTATCCATTGACTCTCTTTTAACTTATTTTCTGGCAGATAATCCATCACCATGTACATTCTTCCATTCACCCTTTATTCCTTCTGTTGGTTCCATTATCTGCTCATCTATTAAGTACAACTGTGACTTCCGACCTGTTAAATATTTATTATTAATGGACTGCTGTCTCAACACTCATTTACTTGCTCCTTTCCCTTCACATAATTGAAAGCACTATCTTTGTTTTTTGAATGATTTTATATATTGTACCTCAGACTATTAACCATTCACTCCATTAGTAAAACCTAAAATATTTATTCTGTCTTCATTCCAACTTCCTGTGTGACTTTCTGAATTGTAAACTCCTCTGCATCAAACACTGGATTTTGCTTTCCTCTTTTCAGTGGTTCTGGAGTTGACTTGAATATAACACCAAGCGCTGAAATCTCAAGCCACTTTATTTCTCAATTTCCACGCATTTAGTCAGGTTGCCTTTAAAATGCTTTCAAATTTTGACAGACAAGCTTAGAAGTATTAACTGGTTCAGTTAGTAGCACTCCTGCTTCTGAGTTATAAGGTTATGATTGCAATGACTTGCTAAGGTGACGTATCAAATATATTTTTCAAACATGTGTATTTTTTTGTTGGTCAGGCAGGTACGGAAACTACTGATCTAATTCTTAAGAGTATCCAAACACATACAGTAGAAAATGGTGTCCTTGGCTTAATACAAACACTGCTCCAAACAGAAAGCTCAATAATTTAGGAATTTGAGATTGTAACTCTACAGGGTGTTCATAAAGTCATGTTACCCCCGTGTTTTTCTTACGCATTACATTCCAACAAACTATCTCTGGGATTTCCATGCATAGGTGGGATGCATGGACTTCTCAGCTTGGATTGTGTACTCTTAATGATGGTAATGGGTTTCCACATGTCAGACAACCCCCAGAAAATTATTTTCTTACAATGATGTTTTATTTTCTGTTGTAGATGAGTCAAGTTTAACAATGTCTAACTAGTGACTTCCTGGTCACTCTGTCCGTGCTACAGAAGATGTTGCACTGAACATGGCGACGGATTATTATCTGCCATTAAAATGATGATAGTTAACACTGGCACTGAACACAATTAAGTACTTCTAAATATAATTATCATCATTCTTCCACATGTTTTCAGTTGTTGGATCAGTGCAAAAAAAACATGGAGGTAACAGGACTTTGTGAACACCCTTTACTTTAAAATAAATAATGTAACAGTTGGATGGAGATGGTCAAGTTTTGTTCAACAAAACATAAACCGTTTCTCATCTTAAACCTTTTCCAGTCCTTATGTTCAGCTGCAGGGTGGCCTGTCCCTGTGGTTATTTGTCAGCGGCCTCCTCCTCTGCTGGTTCACAGATGTGAAAAGCAAAGTGCAGGCAGGCCTCACCTGGAGCCAAGGCTGACCTCAGAGACACCAGTTTCCACTTGCACCAAGGCTGCTCGTGCACAAGAACGTTGAGAATATGCATGGCACAGCCCCGAGTGGAATTATTTACAAACTCAGCAAACTGGACTGGATTGACAAATACAGAACATTTTAAGAATTTGTGACACTATACATTTTTTTCATTGGTGAGGGTGGAGGAGAGAGTGCAACATTCTTGTTTTTCTTAAATCTCAGGTCCAAGATGGTGTTATTCTATGTGAAGGCTGCTATATGCTACTGTATATAAAATACAAATTGTTGTTGTTGCTAACCGGAGGTAGCAAAACTTGAATGTCCTAGATACAGTATTTGCACCTTATTTCCTTACACCTTATTAAGGTGTAGCTTTCAATGTTCACAAAGCTCAGGGTTCCCACATTGTTTTGAATATAAGCGTATGGATATCATTGCGTAAGTGGCATGAGGACAATGTATGTATGACCCAAAACGTCATTAAATTAACCATTGGATGTTTTTTCCCCACTGACTAACACCAAACAAGGAATCAAATTAATGCCTGAAAATAGTGCCTCTGATGTTGTGGGAGTTATTGGACCAGTGTTGAACATCTTAAGGGAGGGTTGCTCCTCACTGGAAAGATGGTCTTATGCCATCAAAATGTGGAATAGTTTAAATGAAATGCTCCTTTGTGGGGGCAGGGGGTTAAGTACACTGCAATAGCTATTATTTTTGAAAAAGCTTCATTTATTTTTAAGTGTAGTGCTAATAATGGTCAGTGACTAGAGGACATTAAATGAGGACAAGTTAGCAAATGAGTAATTTAGGGAGGCTAGGAGGAGGAAGGATTTTTCACACACAGATAATGGGATTGCCCTGCCAGGATCAGTGATTGCAACAGAATCCATATTAGCTTTCGAAGGGCTAAACTACAGGGGTATTGGGAAAGGGTCAGCAAACACATAATGAGGTGAATGGTTTTCTTGTGTGCTGTAACTTTCCATGGTTTCTAATATAAAATGTAGTACCACTGGAACCGTTATTTTTGTGTAAAAATAACTGCCTTGAGTTCAAATCAAAATTAATTGTACTTCAACATTGACAACTACAGCACACAATTGTGCTGGGAAAAATGATAGTGTCAAGCAATGCTACACCTTTGCTTTTTCTTTATTGCAATAAGGATGTATAAAGTATCATCTTTAATACTCTTTAATGTTAAAATAATTAGAAAAGCATTTCAGTGAGTTACAGTACAGTTTATCAAAATGTTTCATTCGGCTTCTATGGGTAAGGTTACCCTCTAGAAAACAATTCAGTCGTGAAACAATTTCCAAACATAGCTTCATAAAATAATTTTATAGGCGTATATAAAAAAAAGATAGAAATTTACAGAAATAGCGTCAAGTAAAAAAAAACAGAGAACCCCCTAAAATGACCAAGCTGAACATAAAAGTAAAAGAACTATGCTGATTTACACAATAGTTGCTAGATGCATAAATTAACAGAAAAAATAAAACTGAATCATCTATTCCATTTCTTCAGTTAATCCTCGTCACTCTCTTACTATCTTCCTTTACAATAAAAAGGTTAAATATATATTTATTCAGTGTATGGTGCAATTTCAAATGTTACAGTGAAGATTACTTCTGTGTGTGCGTCTTTTTTTCTGTAGCTTGTAACTTTTCAATAATGAACTGCGGTCATTTTAGCTTTGGCTACAAAACACTTTACAAAAGCAATGTGACGGTTTCTGAACTTCTGGTTTTGAACGTGAGCAATTGTTGCCCAGAGTATGAAGTGAACAGCACACTGGCACACCTACTCCTTCCACACAGCAGTAGGTTCTCTTTCTCAGGAGTTGAGTTGAGTTGTTGAACGGTGGCAGTGTAACATACATGAAAGACCACACAAAAAAAAGCACCCTGCATTTTTAAACTATTCATTCTATTTTTTTCTGCATATGAATTATATGCACACACACAATTGATTTGGTATTCATATTTTTCCAAACAGACAGACAATCCAATCTTTAGCTGGCTGAACCGAGTGCGGTGCTGGCTTACAATAGATGCAATCTGCATTTTCCAACAAAGAGAAGTTTATATTATGAATTATTAATGGACACTGTGTTCAACATCAGTTTATATCTGGGAGTAACAAAAACAATCATTCATATTGGATGATGGAGCACAACAGCCTTTCAAAATGATTAGATTCCTGATAAGTGGAAAGAGAACAAAGACTTCTCCCTTCACTTTCAGTCAGATTTGCAACATTTAGGTACAATATTTACGATACTATTGAAATAACATTTCCAAAATTATATGGATATACTTTTTGTTTCTTTACTTATAGGAAAGTAATGATACCCTATTACATACCCACTTGGTGCTGTGATGCTAAGTTGTGAGAAAGACTGTGGGGCAAACGAGTCAAATGTGGAAACCCACATTTTGGGCAAGGACACACCGTTTAAAAGGAGCGTAATCTTCATGAAAAGTATTTAGCAAAAGCTTTTTAGATTGAGGGAAAGAAAGCCAGGTGTGAGTTTCATTAAGATTACACAATCAATTAGGATGATGAGTTGACTGGTTTCAGCACAATTCACCTCTTTGCCATGTTGCATTTATGAACAAGCGAGAAAAAAACTTGCTGAAATGGTTTTCATGATGATAGTGCCCCCTTTAACCCAGTTACGGAGCAGAAGATGAAAAAAGAGCAGGTGTATTTTGAGGAGTTTTTGCTCAGTTTTACAACTTGTAGACATGGAAACAAAGGCCAGTTTGGAAATCTGAAAAGCTGTTATAGTAAAAAAATAGCATAAAAACGTTTGATTTAATTTTCCCTTTTCAATTCTCATTCTAGGTCGTAAACTGAACTGTGGTCTCTCTCTAGCCTCAACGTTCATAGTACACTATACTTCCTGAAGACAAATAGACCCAAAGGGTATCAAGTAGACTTTGCTGGGAAGGCTGTACATGACACATTCATCACAAATCTTGTTGGCAGATACTGTATTTAGATTCAATCCTGAAACTCAAAACATATAACATGTGGTACCTCACGACCACACCATTCTGTACAATATTGCAGTTTGAGAATTTTCTTCATTGCACTCAAAATCACTTGCGCAGTGCATTCTAGAGAAATGAGTTTCGAGTACTAAACTTAGAACACATTTTTCAAATAGTAATCCCCGTGGAAGACAAAATTAGTTAAAAGCAGCTTTTTTTCGTGACAGAGGAAAGGCTTATTTCGAGAACTCAAATCCAGCCGAAAGCAGAAATTAAAATTTCATATCAAACTAACATTCATCAATTGCACATAAGATTTGGGAATCTGAATGGAATTTGGTAAGCAACTTTTTTTAGGAAGGCACCTCAGTAAGGCTGTAAAGGCTTTTAATAATTATTACAATTTATTAAGTTACTTCAACAAAAGGAAAAATAAACCAAAACACGCCACTGTTATTGCTGCTGTTCAGGTAGCAAAGGAAAACTCCTCTGTGTATGCCAGTCAGAAAAATGCCTACATTCAATCAAACCTAGGCAAATTGACAGATCATCAGGGTAAAAAAAATCAAATAGTTCTCGTGACCCTTGAATGCAATGATTTCTTCCTTTGTGTGCTTTTTTTTTAAAAAAAATTTTTTTTTTGATCACTTGTATATGTGAAACACACCAAAGTCTAAGACTCTTATTTCCTACTCCCAGCCACTGAAGCAGGAATCTCAGGGCTATGGTCTGTGCTACATATTTAGGAGTAGAAGGTAAGAACACTCTGATGGTTGCCTCGCACAAGAAGGGTGGGAGGCAAATCCTTGGAGAGTGTTTCAATCCAGGCCATGTACAGTGCACTGGACACAGCTCCTTTGCGTGCCACTGGCAGGCTCCTGCAATAGAACAAAATATGTTAGTGGTCATTCCTTCTGATTGCCTATTGATGGCACTGCAGTCAACACTTAAGACAGCACACTAGAGAAAGTACAGAGAGCACTAATGCTGACATTCAGGGTTAAGAATGAGCTATGAGAAATGACAAAATAAACTGGAGCTTCTCAGACTTGAAAGATGATGAGCCTGAAGGGACCTTCTAGAGGTTCAGGTATCTAAAGGCAGCAGAACAAGTGGGCAAGTTTATTATTATTAATTATTATTAATAATTATTACTATTAAAACACAGTCTCTGAGCAATTGGATCCAGAAAATCAAGTTAGAATAAGATTCTTCCATAGTTTGAGTCAAACTTGTCAAGCTTGAAAAAGTGCTGGAAATGACATTCATCTGGAGTGATGCAAATCACATATCCATTTAAATAAATGGAGCTGTGAATACTTTGGAGACTCCCTGTCAACCAGGTCTGTGTCACTAGCCTCTCCCTTGGAAGCATTACTTACATCACAATGAGGTTAGCCGTCCCTGAATGCTCCCGCAGCAATTCATTCAACCTGATCTGCCGATATGTCTGAAATATAGAGTCCACAGTTGAAATTACAATAAAAGGATCGCATTTTAACACACAAATCCAGTTGCATGGTCTCCGTGAGTCACCTTGCAATCAGCAACATGTACTGATGCTCAACCTGAACTGTAACACAAGCAGGAAATGCTTGGGATGGCAGCAGGTAAATGAAGTGAAAGACGGTTAAATAGTTCAGGTATGACTCTTCGGTAACAGACATTTCTCCCCCCTCCCAATCTGACATGACCTTTTTGTTCATAGTAACATGGCCAAGAACCATCAGCTCTCTTTGTGCCTTTGCTCAAAATGAAACATTTCATAAACTGTCCATGCTGTTTGTTGCCTATATATGAATGCAATGAGATGATTTTGCTTTTGATTCTTGAGCATGTCCTGATTTGTCCCAGGCACTCCTAAAACAAAGCTTTTCCAGCTTGACTGTCAGTTCTGATTGATGGTCACATCGGAAATTTTAACTTTGTTTTCTCACATTGATCAACTTGCTATGGGTTTCCAATACTTTGGGTTTTTATTCCAGATTTCCAACGTGCATGTCTTCTTATTAACTAAATTAAATACATAATACGACAACAACAACTTGCATTTATATAACGCCTTTCATGCTTAATAGCCCTGTAATCTATTAAACGTTTCTCTAAATCAACATCAGACCCTTCATTACCCATTTAGAAGTGTCATCATGTGGTCAGTTTCTATTTTCCTCAATCCCTAAGTAAGCATGTTTGGGAATGAATTCTACCTGCGTTTAGATTTACATTGACATTGAAGCCGGTTTTCTGTAATTCTTAAAAGATCTTACAGAATATGGTTTCAAGAAAACTTTAAAGTATTTAAGAATTTACCAAATTCTGGAAACTCCAGAATCCTAGTAAAATAGAGGAAATCTAGATCCAGTTGGAACTTCTCTACAGCAGTACTTTAAAAATAACTCAAACATAAAATAAACCCTGATATGAGCTTCGTTTCCAGCTCTCTGACAACAGGCTTTCGCAAACAATCATCTTTTGTTTCATAATTAACCTGGAGCCACAACAGCAAGCAAACACTACAGTAGTAATAAACAGCATGTCTATTCCTGCTTTCAACATGAACCAGAGTAACAATTTCACTTGCAATTATTATTCAATGCAGGTACAAAAATCGAAACACTGAGGAAATACACATAATGGAACCGGCAACCCATGTTCAGCACCTTGCGAAAAATTATTTTGATTTACTGTGCAACTAGATTAGGAAGGAACTTTTATATACTTTTAATTCATGGAGAAAGTGTAGAATTTCTAGGATTTTACCAGGGATGAAAGGATACAGCTATCAGGAAAGACAGGACAGTTTGGGGCTTTTTACCTTGGAGAAGAGACAATTGAGTGGAAACCTGATAGGTGTGTGAAAGTATGAAGGGATACGATAAGGTAAACTTAAATAAACTGTTTCCACTATAGGTGAGTCAACAACAAGTAGCATACATATAAGATTGCCACAACAGATCTAAAAGAGAGTTTAGGGGGAACTTCTTTAAACAGAGGGTCAGCATAATGTGGATGTCAAGGTCGAATCAGAAAACATCAATGCATTTAAGAGGAAAATCAATTAAATCATCAAGAAAATGGGAATAGAAGGGTAATAGGTGGGGAGGCAAAGGCATGGATGAGGATGGCAGGGGCACATGTGGATTAAACATCAGCATGGCCGATAAATCTGAATGCTCTGTTTCACTGCAGCAGATACTATGTAATTCATATCCCATATTTCGATCCCTCTATACCAGAACATATAAACAGATTAGTGATTGTAACTGGTTCAAACCTTTATTCTGTAGATCTCCAGCTCATTATCTGTGATCCTCCATGCTTCCTCCTCCTTCAGCTTCTCAGCTGCATCCTGTTCCTTGTCATCCTCATGAAGTCTGTATGGCTCAATCATTTCTTCAAATGCTGCGATACTGCCAGGTAATATCAGCAAGAACATTTCAGCATAACACCATAGTTTACTGCTATTACTCCCAGTAAATTCATTGGATCAAAAAAATGCAGCGATTCTCGCATGTCAGCTGAGCTCAGTTGGTAGTACTTTTGCCTATGTCAGAAAAGCTGTGGGATCAAGCCCCATGTCAGGATTTCGAGCGTACACAGTCTGGGCTGTCACTTCTATGCAATGCGGCGGGGTGGGAGGAGGGGGGGAGAGAGAGATTCTGGGAGGTGCTGTTCTTCAGATGAAATGTTAAACCAAGGTCCCATTGTCCGCCAGTTCAAGTGGATTTAAAGCTCTCATTGCACGGTTAGAAGAGATCTCTCCCAGTTTCTTGGCCATCAATCCACCCAATAAAATTGATAATTTACTTCACGAATGTTTGTGGGACACTGCTGTGTGCAAATTGGCTGCAGTGCTTGTGTACAAAAACACCGTTACCACACTTAACTGCAAATCATGTGAAGTGCTTTGAGACATCCTCCTGACATGAAAGGCACTTTACGAAATACAAGGTTGACAATTATTATTACGATGATGAATTAACTGGATGATCAGAAAATTACCAAGATTTAGTGACTGTACTTTTTACGCTGTACTTCAATTAAATTGCATGCTCTCTATGATGGCTATTGGAATTACGCAGAGTTGCACTTACTTGGCTTTGCTTGGCTTAGTGTTCAGATCCCCGAGAACTGTGATATCAGAAAAATCTATCCTGAACTTGCTGAGGAGTGTAGCCATTCTGAAAGTCAATGACGTGGATTGAATTAATTCTCACAATTCAAAGTAAGCCTTGGGCAATAAAATGAATGTATGGACCATTGCCTTACAGTTTCCACAGAGAATGTTACAGAAGGTTTGAAAAGGTTACAGCAATAAAGAGGCAAGACTACATGGAGGGAGTGAGGTGGTGCTGTCAACTGGCTGTATCACATGCACAATACCTTGCCCAGTTGCAGAAATTTTAGCTTGAGGACTTACTTTTGAAAAGATTATATTAATTCTTAATATCATGTTACTTTTCAGTCTTTCTCCTCTTGTAGCTATTCGTCTCCTTTCTTCAAGTACTGGGTAACTTTCCACAGGTGCTCACCGCCCATCCCCCTCCTTCCATAAGTTCACCCAAGGGGGTGCATAAGCCTTGACTGAGTTTTAACAGAACAATATTTTTAAAAATTGTGCTGATATCCAATCAGGTAAAATGGGTGAAGAGATCATGGCACAATTCTAATCCTAATTCTTTGAAGCTCCAGTTTGACCTGTTGCTAGAGTGACGACTTAGTACAAGTCTCTGAGCTGGTTGACATATCCTCTGGTATCAAAAGCATGTTTTTAAATAGCAACTAAGATTATTGGTGCAGGAGTGGGGAGAAGCAGCACCAATGAGCGCACTCCGTAACAGCAATGATCTTTGGATCCAACCATCATGCCAGAGTTGTGGGATGTTGGGGAAAAAGGGTTCACATTTTACTCATTGACTTTAGTTTAGCCAGTCTTCAGTTATCAAAAAGAAACTTTGGGATTTCACAACAGATTCAATGTAAATGACACATATAGTCAGGAGAGAAACAATAGGGATTTTCACCCTAAGATAACAAAAGTCTCATTTATTAATTAAGAAACCCTCATCAGATTGCTGTGCTCATCATACTTCAACCTGACATCATAAGAACTCCATCCCTCGGTCTCGCCCCCTCCCTTGCTACCTTCAAGACCCACCTCAAGACCCTCCTCTTTGACCATGCTTTCGATCTCCCTGCTTTCCCCCCATCCTCCACACTCCCCCACCCTCAGCTTGGGTCCGTAACTCTTGTCTGTCCAGCACCTTGGCATGTCCTCCCGATGTGAAAGGCACTATATAAATGTAATTTTGTTGTTGTTGTTGTTTAGCTGTATCGCGCTTTTCAGAAAGAAGTATAAGCCTTCTTTGCTGATATCAGGATTGTTGGTGTTTGAAGGCGATATGAAACCCCTTACATATCATTGACCAATTACCATTTCTATATTTCTTTAGGTCTTTCTGTGCTCACACCTATTAAGGTGCAAGTAATAAATCCTGACCACACCCCTCAAGTATTAGACAGCAATACTGTGAACTGGATCTTTTAGTTAAAGTGTGTATCTGGAAATTGACTTGAATAGAGGTTCAATCTGTTCCTAATGTGCTGCACAAATCATATAATGAAATGGAGATTTAGAACAGAAAATTGACTTCAATCTTAACCACACCATCACATCACAGATGACGATTTTCAAAAAAAATTAAACCAGATGTTGATTTGATTGACCCATGTGCAACTTAAAAAAAATCTACATCTCATTGTTTAGACCCATTTGCAAACTTACTCGCACGCAATGTTTTGATTCTGCAAATAATCAACAGTCATCGCTTACGTTCTCCTGTCATGGTCTATCCTGTTTATCTTTCCGCCAATGAACACTCGGATCTTGCAATCTTGCCACTTATTTTTGGTGGTGAGGAGATACGGGATAAGTAGCGTCAAACCTATGCAAATGGAAAAACACTGACATCAAAGCCGCTTGAAATGATCTCAAGAGTTTCCTTTCAGGATCATTGCCATTTGACAAACATAAATGAACTGTGAACCATTCCCTTCCATTAGCTTTGTGCCATAAGTTTATTGATAGTTTAAAAGGAAATGGTTTGCAGAACAAAACTGTACCTCCATCATCGAAAAGCCACCAGACATCAATAGTCCCTTTGCCCTGCTTCTTCTGGAACTGAGTGCTGGCCTCGAGCAGCTTCTGGTCAGCTGTGTTTAAAGGCACGGATGGACCTTTGACTTCTAAAGTGTTTATGGATTAGCAGAACAGATTAAAACGATTAACAGAAAACATTCCTTTGAATAACATGCCACCCCTTCCCTCACCAGATGATCACCACATAAACATCAACAAGGTACAGAGAAAGTTAATAGTACACAGCTCGGACACGTTTCACTGAAAGTTGGAAAGAACTGCATCTAAATTCATTTATATCTGTTCACTGCATTTCCCTGACACTCCTTCTTGGCAAAAACACAGATGTTGATCCAGGAAACTTTATTACATGTAGAAAAAGCATTTTTGCTTAATGTACAAATTGTCAGAATTACATGGGTTTAGAGGAGTCTTTATTCTGCCCTCAGCCATCCAAATTTGAGTACCTGCAAACTTCTCCCCGGTCAGTCGAGTGTTGAGCTCTACAGTGATGACCTATTATACATCACTTAAGTGGACAATCATAAAACCATCATTGCATCTGGTATGTGGAGATGGGTTTTAAAGATTATTTTGTTTAATGAGCACAGGCGTGTACAATTACTGCACCATCCTCGGGTGGCATTTGTAACATATCTAAAATTGAATTACACTTTATTAACCTCAAATAAATCATTGACAAAAATTTCCAGGATCAATATGGTTAGAATTAAAACAAAAATATTCTAGTGGGTCCACCAAATAACATACTTAAAATTGCTGGATGGTACAGTTGCTATGATACTCCGCAGGATTAATACCAATTAGTAGAAAACCTTAAAAGCATTCCCGGGTCAATCACGTATTACTGAACTTGTGATTGATTTGCAATTGTGGAGCTATTAATTCCCATACATTCCTATGTAGCCCCAAACAGGACTAAGAAGCAACTTCTGTGAGAGACAATGTAGGAAAGCTAAACTATAGAAATAACAGGCAGATGGGTATTTGACAGATGTGCAAATACCCATCAGAGGGCCACCTAAAGAGATGTCCTGAAAATGGCCCTTCATCACTCAGTCTCATTCTTTCACAGATCAGCCTGATCTGCTGTGCATTTCTGACATTATTTCAGATTTCCAGCAGCCAAGTCTTTAACCAATGCTAAATGTCATTCAGTTTGGCATAACAACTAAATGACTTTTTTTTTGGTAATACAGTACAGAGCCCTGTCTGTGAAATACATCAAGTTTACTTCCTCCCACACAAAAGGGAAAATGCAAAGCACACTTTTTTTTAAACTAAAAAATGGGTATTGTAATATGATCTTTGGCTTCTGATGAAACCCTTTCGAAATGCTGTGGCAAAACTGATGGGAAATCAGTGCGATTTAAAGTGAATTTAATCCGGCTTCAGTTTCTTGTAATACTCTCAAAGGTGGCAACAAGTTCAAATAAGACCCTAAGAGTTAACTTGAGAAAAGCAAGACTCGTACTTGAACCCTTTGATTTTGGTAACCTGGTACTGCTATTGAGCCGAAGTACTCGAGCTGAAATTATAAACGATAAAAGAAAAGAATCAACACCAGAAAAAAATTAACATGAAAGATGAACTCATACAACAACAGGATAGAGCATCTAAGAATTTTTGAGTAAGCAGGGTACAGATTCAATGTACTGTATTTAAACAAAACTTAAATGAAAATTAAACGGTGGTAGAAATAAAACCAGAAATCTGTTTTCTAACTTAAAATGCAAGGATAACAATGAAATGAAAATAAAAGATGGGATGCCTGCCTTTTTTCAAGAGTGGCTGGGTTGAGGCCTTGGCGTCATCTTCTTCATCTGCATTATATTCAAAACAATCAATAAGGCAGAAGTTAATTTCAAATGCATCATTGATAGAAATCAAAGCACACATTTAATTAACTGGTTTAGAGATTATTCCTGTCATGAGTTATATTCTACGTATTGCTTTAGTACCAGATAGTGAGCATAGGGCGTGGGGAGGAAGAGCTGAAGGTAATATGGCTATTAATTTACTTGCGTCTATTAATTTCTACAGTATTGGTACTTTTAGCAGTCCAGCACATATTTTGCATGTGCTTAGTCTTTCTAAGTAACTCATCATCTAGTTACACAACAGTTTCCCTTGGTGATGGGGCGAAATGAATGGAAATGCAAACCATTTACTGCAGTAATTCTTCTGAACATATTTTTATTTCACAGAATGTTTCCCTCCCCACTTCTTCCACCTACCGCCTTTGCTCCCGAATGTATAGATTCACACTCGAGGTGTGGTTCCAAGGACACTTGTGATCCTCCGGTGCATTTCCTTAGTGGCAATTCTTCATCTGCAAGCCTGGACAGTTAGTGTCAGAGCCGCCTTAGCCCAAACTGCCCAAATATGTCCTCATCAGATATCCACACATGTGCACTTATAAAACCTCTAAAAAACAATCAGAAACTGATACCCTGGCCAAATTTATCCCTTCCTAGCTCAGGTAGCGGTAATCAAGTAAGTTAGCATAGATGAAGGATCAATCACAGAACATTGTTGGTCTGTATACATCGCTTATTGGTTGTTTTTAGTGAATAGTATAAACTAGATTCATCTGCTACTCGACAGAATAAAACTTCAGCTATAGAGAAGGGTTTGCAGAGGATAGAGATATCAGTCAGTCTCATTTTACCAACCTGACTCGATGAGCTACAAAATGGAGAGGACACAACAAATATATGTACAAAGGGATGTATATTGCCGTGATACATCTCTTCATCACCACTACAAGATCTAAACTCAATGTATCCATCATATAACACTCACTTTTAAATGCTTAATATTGGAGAATAAACCACTACTCTACAATTGGGGATCATTGCTTAGATCTCGAGGTTCTTAAAATTCTTTGGAATGGAAACACAAAGCTATATATATGTGTGTAATATATATTATATATGTTATATATGTAATTTTGTAATGTATATCAAAAAATCACATTTAATCATGAAACCTTGTTTATCAGTTAAAGAAACATAAGGCTGCTTCAACCACAAGTCTAACCTGATCACAATAAGCATTATTCAGTTTCATTGGCCGCATTCGCAGATTTTAGTGGAAATCTATGAAATTTACTACTGGGATGTGAAAAATAACAAAAACTAGCTGATCAACAGATCTATCAGTCATGTAAACCAATGGATCCTCAAATTCAATAATAGAAAATTACAACCAATAGTAAATCCTCATAACAACATGGTAGTTGGGATTCATAAAATACCAACCTTTACTTAAATGAGACATATGCACACAGGTTTACTCCTTGTACGTTGTCCGGTACCCAACTTCCGGGTCACCATGTCACTGTTGACATTACTTCCTGTGTGCTGCACATATGTGGGATACTCTGATGACCTGGAAGTTGGCCATTTTAACACAAGAGCCGTCTTGCATGTGGAAAGCAAGCGGACCCTCTGTGTGCATCACAGTAAATCACAGAGTCCACACCACAATATCCAAATCAGTAGTGTAAACAATCACCTTATAATTGGATCATACTACATCCCTCACCACCCGCACCTCCCACCACACCTCCCCCCTGGGCTCGACTATTGCAGTTGAATTTTGTGTTAACTGAAATTAAAATATAGATTAAAATAATTTGCAGCTGGCTGTTTTTTGTCTGCATGTGAGAATTCCACAGGGGTATCAGGGAGAAGTGACCTTGAAAATATGCAGCACAAACACTGAGACTATTTACTATCCAAGAGCAAATACAGCACATGATATACATGCTGACGACAAGCCACTTCTCCCGAGGAACGGAATGGCCACAGCAGCTGCTCTAACCTTAAAACAACAACAAATTGCATTCGTATAGCACCTTTCACGTCAGGGGGACATCCCATAGCACTGGACAGTCACGGGTCCGCATCCGAACTGGTGGTTGGAATCAGGAGGGGTGGAGGGCAGGGATGGTAGGTATAGGAGGGTGACCGAAGGCACGATCAAAGAGGTCTTCTTTACAGCACAGAGGATGTCATTCAGTCCACATTGTCTGCGCTGCACAGTTTCTACTCCCCCACCAAAGCTATCCATTCTGATTTCACTTGCCTGCCATTTCTTTGTACGCATTAGTATTATTTTTTTCCAAGTATTCATCCAAATACTTTTTAAATATGGTTTTGTGTCGATTTCAATGGCCATTTGTGGAAAATCACCCCATAGATTAACAACCTGCATGTAAAGCTTTCTCTCCTAAGTTTCCCCTTTGCTCCTCTGATCATGGTCCTCCATTAATTGTTGTAGATTTACAGAATGGCAGAAATAGTTTAAATTTACCTCATGAAAAATATAAAGATATTATAAATGACCTGGTAGCACCGAGACACCAATAATATAGGCTCAGGAAAGGTGCACTGTGGTAGATCAGCTTTGGTGGGTTGTAAGAAATGTTGATACAATTCAAATTTTGGCCCCAGCCCTCACTATAAATTAAATCTCACCCATTGCTACCATTAATGCAATGGTAGTATCTCAACACGCAGGAGTTCTTCCTATATTAAATAGTTATCTGTGGATAACACAAATGTAGATAGTGGTGGGTGGTTCAGTAACTCATCTAGGAGCACTGTAATCAAAGATGAGAGGAATCAACAGGCTTGCCTTGGAGAATTAAAAAAATTAAGACTTTTGCAGACATTAGCAGAACAGTTGACTTCAACACTAAAAACTGGGACCCAACATGTGGCACAACTAATGCTAATCAAACCTAACCAAATAATTCATCTTGGTCTGGGCAGCCTTCCCTGTGGATTGAGACTTTGATTTCCTCCTACACGTTTGTGCTCACTGTTCCTCCCCTTCTCATCGGGTATGGCAACAGGAAGAAAAATGCTTTCCAAATGACTGAACATTGTATTAGGTCTGGCATTAGGGCTAAAAGTTGGATTGTGATAGCACATTATAGCACCATCACTGTAAATTTTTTGCAGTATACATCAGACTTCAGTTAACTAGATCAATGTTAATAACTGGTTAAATTGGTGGTATCATTTACTGCTAAATCAGACCCATATCAGACCATACCTCTTCGGGTTAAAAACTCTAGAGTGCATCCAAATAGGGAGCCACAGCTCAGCAATACCTGAGCAAATGCAACAAAATAAGTTGTTACGGACATATTTCAAGTCACAACACGGCAAGTTTGTTTTTAAATACATAATGCTGTGTGGGCAATGGGCGCTTTGTATACAGTTGTCTCTTTGAACACGTAGAGCTGCAAGTGCTGAAACAGCGTGAGGAAACCGAGATTAAAAGCAAAACAAATGATTTCATTGGTAAACGTGATGTTAAGAATTATGACATAACAATGTACAATTTTAAAAATATTCTAGTTGTAGATGCAAACAATGCAAAACTTGCCATTTCCAGCCCACAAACACAGCTCTTTCTAAGTAGATGGGCACATCTCAGAAGCCTTACCTTTCTGGTCCTGACACACTGCTGGACTGTTGGTTTCACTAGCGGATTTAGATGATGGCTTGGAGGAGTCAGCATCAGAGTGCTCCAGATTCACCACAATATCCTTGGGGTGAGCAGATTTCTCTTGAGAAGCAGACTCTTCTGGGAAAAACACACACACGCACGCACACAAACATACGAATGAATCCAACCTGTTCAGCAAGGTAATTTTACCCCAAAGTAATCCAAGGCTAACAAAGATTAATTGTACTTGATTCTGCAGAAGCAATAGGTTTTTTGGCCGTGTGGGGCTGTTCAGTTCACCTAATGCAGTAATGGGTACTTGTACCCATACACAGGCAAGAATTAGAAGGGTCAAGCACCACCCACCACTATCTACATTTTTGTTACCCAGAGATAACTGTTTAATGTAGGAAGAACCCCTGTGTGTTGAGATACTGCAATATCTTAACTCTTGGTCTTCTATTTGTCCACATACATGTTAAAGTGGTTCAAACTACATTACTGAACATTTTTTGAATATGGACCTATTTTGACTAACTCTCCTATTGAAATTAGTGTAATCAGCAAACACTACATATTTGATGATAAGCAGTTTAAGGAACTTTAAGGTGCCCATTTTGACTGGTTACTAACTATCTTATAAAAAGGATCCCCCCTCCCCCCAGTTATAGGGCAGAAATTTGGAGTATCTTGAATTTAGTGAATTCTTAAATTCAGCCTGAATTCACTACGCTATGAAATAGAATAAAGCTAAACCCAGGTGGAATTTCTACCCCTATAAGCACATGACATTAATGTTAAAACCTTTATGAACTAGTGGAGTTTTACTCTCCAGCCTGTAAAGTTTTTACACAGGTGCTGCAGTTGCATTTCAAACCTGGGGTCTGTGGTTCATGGTCCCCTCCACCACTCCCACCCAAGTCTTAACTTCTGTTCTGGGCTGAGAACAGCTAAACCTGTGCAAGCAGTTACTACAAAAAAGCATTTTTCATGGATCAAATAAGCTTGTTGCAATTAACATAGTTCCTGTATTCAAAGGAAAAACGCACATGCAACAGGGATGTTGTGTGGCAGAGTCTGCAGCTGAAAAGACTAACGTGCCAAAAGGAACATTTTTGATGATGTGGAAATGAATCTAATGGAAAGAAATATTTGTAGCAGATAGTATATTGTTTGACTTTGTCTGAATTGCATGATACGGTACAAAAACAGACAAGGGCACACTGATCAGCATTGTACATAATACAGCACAGCAGCTGTGTCAGGGCTGCACAGCAGAGCAATGCAGATTCCCCCACACGCTTTCCCTCCCAAAAAAATGTATATGGGCATCTTAATATGTCTAACAGATTCTGAAATATTAAATTCTACATGAACCTCATGCCAAACCATCAAAACACAGCATCGACACCAGCTTTGTTTCTGCCTTCCATAATCACGTCAGATTGTTGCCAAAGTAATAATAATCCTTGCATTTGATATAGTGCCTTATCAAGTCTTCGAGATGTCTCAAAGCGCTTCACAGAATATACTGTAAAGTGAATTGACTGTATATTTTATGGGTCAAACGCGGCAGCTAATTGCACACAGCAGTGTTCCATAAACAGTTGTGGTTTGAAGTAGGCACTCAACAACTTGCATTTATATAGCGCCCTTCACCCTGGATGGCGTCTCAGAGCGCTTAATAGTGGGGGAGCCCAATGCCGACCCATGGGGAGGGGAATATGACCATAGGACGGTCGAAGAGGAAGGTCTTCAAGCGCAACTTGAAAATGAGGAAGCAAGGCAAAGGGATTGAGGGAGAGAGTTCCACAGCTTTGGGGCATAGTGGCTGAAAGCATGGCCACCGATGGTGGGGTGGAGGATCCGGGGGACAAGGAGGAGGCCGGAGCCAGTCGAGCAGAGGCATCGGGTAGCAGTGTAGGGAGAGAGCAGGTTGGAGAGATAGGGGGGCTGCCAGGGCATGAAGGGACTAAAAAATACGAGAGTGAGGATCTTGAAATCAATCTGCTCTATGACAGGGAGTCCATGGAGTTTGACAAAGACTAGGGTAATGGAGGTATGGAATTTAATGCGGGTGGGAATGCGGCGGAGGAGTTTTGAATTAGCGGGAGACTGCAAGTGATTGGACTTTGAGCAGAGTTCCAACAGGTTGGCACCAGGATGCATCTGAGCACATGATGGATTTGATATTTCCATAGCCTGTTACAAAGTCCCCCACTTGAGACACCATAATGCACATCTGCACTAACAGTACTGTCTTCACATAATCAAAACAACCGATTGAATTACCTGCCATTCCAATAGAACATTTCAACTGAGCACCAAATGCTCCATTTCTACTTGTAGCAAATACTAACGCAGATGCAGGAAATTGGCAAAGATACAGGGACTCATGAGGCAGTACAAGTGAGGCACAGGGCACTGGGTGAGGATGGCACAAGTTGGAAACCAGCAGGCTAAGGACTTTAGTTTAATATCTAATTTTTAGGAAAATACCTCCAACAAAGCAGTACTCCCTCAGCACTGCCTCGAGATGTCCAATCTACATTGCAAGCTCAAGGCCTGGTGTGCGGTTTGAATGTGCCACGTTGACAGTGAAGTGTGGCTTCTTAAAATGAAAAGCAGGTTAAACAAAACAAATCAATTACCTTGCGTTTGAAGATGAGAAATATCAAAACCTTCCTTCAGTCTGATAAGCACTACTCCATACTGAAAGTCAAAGGCATCACTGAAAAGCAGAGAGACAATGTTTCAGCAAATAGGCTTCAAATACAAAAAATAGAAAAGTAAATGCAATTCTTCACAATAAATTAGGTGTTAAGTTTTCCATGGTAGCTTTAAGACATTATATTTCATGTGGAATTGCTGTGTAAATATACAAACACACTTATAAAATCATTGTTCTAAATCATCCAAAAAAGATGAGTAACTGAAATTTTTACCCAACATATAATAAAAACTAAATGATCTTTGGGATTTATGCTCAATTTAAGCAGCCAAAATGGACTTGTTTTTTTATACTTGTAAACAGAAACGCTAGGACAAATAATGCATTTCAGAATCTCCAACAATGTATTTCAGTATGCCCAATAACTTCGAAGTCCCCAGCAAATTTCCAATCACAGCAGTCTAGAAGCACTTGCTTATTTTGGTATCCAAATAAAGCATTATAGATAAATGTATTAATTCTCTATGGATTACGCCAGTGCTAAAAAGAACAATCTCAATTCAAACAACGTTTGGTACTTTGTTGCACCCTCCCTCCTCCCGCAGAAGAAGAAAAGGCCATTCTTCTTATCCCCCGCTCCCAGCTACTCTTCATGAAGAGAATATAAGAGGTTTTAAAATGCCTTCAGCATTTAAAATACATAGTTTACACTAAAATACAACGGGTGCAGTAATGAGATCAGATTTTCTGCACTTTGTGCTTTGGAATGGTAATTAGTAAGATTAACTCACTGAATGGCATTAATGTAATTCTCCACATCCCTCATGTCGGCTTGCCGCCAGTCTTTCTTAAAGCCATATACGAGCATGTTGGGCCTGAGACGACCAAGTCCTACTGCCTGTAAGTGAATAGTAAAAAAAATGAACAGACATGCTTTGATTACCAGACATTCATCCAGAACTAACCCTCACTGTTGTACATATGCCAATTCATGGCAGTCTTTTAAACACACAACCTATTCAATTTGAATCCTGTAGATGGATGCGCTATCCAGCTGGGAAGGAAAATGGGTTTACCAAAATCCAGGTTGCTTTGAGTGTATTAGTAAATTGCTCTTGTTTGCACCAATCTGTATGCTGCATTCATTTCCAAAAGCTGAGAGTAATATTTACTGAATGCTCTGAAATGATCAGATTTTAACAAAGTCTCTCAGTGTTTGTGTGGTAGCTTTCTATGTTTGAAACGCTGGCACTGTGAATACAGACACATCTTAAAAGTTAGTAGCTTGAGAGACATAAGAGGGGAATATTGCTCCAGTGATGGCAGTCAGTGGTGAGACGAACTGGCAGCATTGATGGTAGAAAATTGCATAGTAATACTAGACCGGTAAAAATATATGTCCATTTGAAAAGCTAGCTGCATAAAATCACCTGTATAACGAGCTATTAAAACTTAAGCTTGGAGGTTTAACTGAAAGAGTTTTCAGAAAGACAGATGTGAAAGCTGCTTTTCACATTGGTTTTAAAATGCCTTCAGCATTTAGAATAGTTTAAACTAAACTATAACTGTTGCAATAATAAGATACGATTTTCTTTGCAGATTGAATACTGAATTTTTGATACCCGAATTATACATGTTCTGCTTACTTATTCGTTACCATCCCTGCTTGCATCCTGTTCATAACACATGCATGGCTAATGCAGGCAATTCAAGCACTTTGGGACATGCTCCTAATGTGAGAGGTGCTACTTTTTTTGCTATATAGATGTCAGTTGTATTGTACAGATTCAGCTCAAACTACAGGCGTTTGCAAACCCCACTCTGAAAGCTAAACAATGTTAAATAACAGCTAAAATAAATCATGATCATTAACTCATGTTAAAAGCTTCATTTTTTTGATAGGAGGAGTTGAAAAACTAGAGAAAATTATAGATGGTGGTCCAGACTGCTATTAGTGACACAGATAAATTAAACTCCGTCTGGTATATATGAACAGACTGGAAATCAAACTCATTATGCATACATTACATCATTTCTGATATTGTAGCTCTGGTAAATTTCACAGACATCCAGATTTATTACATTTCTCAAACCAGATAGAATTAGGACACTGATGTGCACAATTGGATGCTGCATTTTGCCCACAAATATACAGTCAATTTACTTTACAGGATATTCTGTGAAACGCTTTGAGACATCTAAGAAGACATGAAAAGTGCTATATCAAATGCAAAGATACTATTATTATAATTAGTCATTCACTTCATGGCTGTTTGTAGGACTTGTCAGCATTACTGAGTGACATGAGCTTTAAACCTCGAATTTCAAGACTTTATACAATTTCTCATTGCACAAAAACAACAGGCAGCTCTTTCTGCAGACTATCAATTGGAAGAATAAATCTGAAGGTACAAAGTCTTTGAAGCAAGGGGGAGGTGTGGAGTCCCACTGAATGCTAAATCTATGGTGCAACCAACGGCTGCAGTATATTATTCTGCTGTTAAGGAAACTTGTTTAAAGATGAAAGAGACCCCCAAGCAATAAAAAGCTTCACGCTTAGCAGTGCCAGACTATCTTTAAATTCTCCCCCCCACCCGAGAGTAGAAGCCCATAAATCCTGAAGTGTAAAATTATGCAAATAGATAAGAAATTTAGATCCAGGATGTTGAGCGAGTTCCACTGTGTTCGGTTAAGTCAAGCAAAAAACATACATTAACCATCACACTCGAGCAGCCCATCAGGATATTACTCTCTCAATATCCTTGAAAGACTAACTTTGGCCACAATTCAGGACCAAACAAAAAAAATCACTCCCGACTTATTATTTGCATTTTGGAAAACAAAATGGGAAATGCCCTATGCTGGGTTTGAGCTTTGGATTTTCCAAAATTTGGAACCCCAAATTGCACATTGAGGAATCCGGAGTAGGGTGACACCAGTTACTGAGCATTCCTCTGCTTGACGGAGGTTTGTTAATGTTAGCAACATTATTGTTCTTGTAACAGAACCTTTGACCGAAACAGTCAAGCAAAGAGTAAACCAAGCTAGAGAACTGTGTCAGTCTCGTTTGATTAGAAACAGCCACATATCAAAAGGTACAAAATTCGACCAGTCTCAATGCAGACATCATAGCCATGAATACCTTAAGCAGCTGGCTTATAAAATAGTGTTGGCGAGGATTGGGAGAGAAAGACTGCAAACCTAAGACCCTGAAAGATCATTTTATAGATGAAAGGCGAGCCAGTCAGACGAAACCATATGGTTACCCACTTTACCTGGAACAATGGACCAAGAAAAGAAAACATGCCTTTGGGCATAAATATGTGATTTGATCAGATTGTGTTTGAGCCAAAACACATGATTCCAGACAATGCCTCTTCCTAGCCTCATTGGCCACTTGTGGCATAGCATTCCAAGTCCTAACTATGTTCGACAACCTACTTCCTCGCCCACCCCTCCCACTCCGCCAACTCTGGCGGCTTCATTGTTTCGCATCCTCTCTGCTCCATGAGACTAGCTTTCTGTCACTTTGCTCCCACTCTCAGAAGTCTTTCAAAATTGCTTCTGCCTCACATCCTCCCTCTGTTTTCAAAATCCATCTGAAAAACCTCTTTTTCACTGCACCCTCAGTCACCAACCCCTTCTGCTCCCCCCCACTCCCCAAATCTCAGACTCCCATATGTCTTTATAAAGCAGTTTGAGACTTTATTTTACATGTAGAATAATTACATGACAGTTATTGTTGGGGTTGCAAAAATGGGGATGAATACATTTTGGAACAATAATCCTTGCATTTGATAAACATCGAAACGTTTCCAAGTGCTTTACAAGTAATTACTATGAAATTTAAGTGACTGTCTACTTGTGAGCAGTGTAAGTGTACATGAGATTCCTGGGAGCACCCAGTGTAGCTGATATACAATGGACCCTCTGAAACATTCACAATTCTGGCAATAATAACTAATTTAGTTTCTACAAAGAAACATGAGTATTAAAATTCTTTACATTTTTGTTTGTTTAAACATTAGTTCAAACAAGAGGAGAGACACTCTTCCTTCTGTGTATTTATATTTCTTTTCCACAGCCATCGTTATAAACCCTATAGCATTATGGGCAAAAGAAGTGACCATTTCCTTCACAGAGTAAACTTGACAAAATGCAGTCTCAACCCCTTTGCAAATTCTGGACAACATTAACGAAGTCAGAGGCAAGGCAAGATAAGTTTACCTGGATCAAGAACTGGGTACCCTCACGCAGATCTTCTGCATATACTGGTGTATAGAAGGCCTTCATTTTGTTCTTTATTAACCAGCGTTGGTATTTGGCCTGATCTGCAGCGATTTCCTTTAAAGCTTGCCTGCGAGGCCCCTAATGGAAAGAAATGTGCAGATTTCAGAAAATTAAAGCAATCTCCAATGAAGCATTGGGTAAAGCTGAATCACAAATTTAACTAGCCACAAACTGCCAAATGCCAAATGGTGCCAGGTTGGTCGGGTAATTATGTTTAACCACTTGGACACTATTACCGAGAGGACATTCTGATGTAATCTTCACATGGGGGGGGGGGGGGTGGAAGTGCGGGGGAGAATGACACGCTTACTGGGTCAAGATTGTTACCAACATAAATAAAAGTCAGGACTCAAATATATTCACAGCCGTGAAACTCTAGCTATAACAGAGTTTTCATAGGCAACACTGCCAAGAATTAACATTTAACTTTAATCCTGTTTAATCATAGTGGGATCATTTTGCCCCGAGGATCACATGAGTTAAGGCTCTGGAATAAAATGCACGATACTGTTTTCTTAAGCATTAAATCATAGACGAGCTATTTTCTATTCGAAAAGGGGTCAGTCAATGATTTCTGGATACATCGATCTCTATTTCAGCCTTTATTGACAAGAAACCAGATAAAACGAAGGCTCAGCAATGCAGTCAATAAATTATACACAGCCATGTAAATCCTTCAACTCACCATACGGACATGTCCACAGACCACCAGCCCAACATTTTTGGTGAAGGCATGAACAAGTTGGAGCAAGGCTGGACGGGAAGGAGGAGCACCGATCATTAGCAAACATTGCGGCCTGTACAAAAGAAGAAACAGCAATTTAGAACCATCTTAACTGTGGAGCATTTCCCTTGAACTGCAGCACATGAATATATCCACTGGCTTTAAAATAAAAGCTTAATGGAAATCAATGCAAATACACCACAAATTACAATGGATACATGGCAGGTATTTCTCAAACTGTAACCTTACGTTTGAAGTGAAATACAATATGTTCATAATTTTAGATCTTAGCATTACCATCTGAAATGCTGTACACTGTCCAGCGCCTTGGGACGTCCTCCCGACGTGAAAGGTGCTATACAGTTGTAATCTTGTTGTTGTACCAAAGCAATCGCTTAGAAACCCAAAATAGTTCAGAAAGCCAAATACAGAAAAGTATTTATTTTTTGTTAAAAAAATTGGTTAATTCAGGACAGAACTGACCACAAGCTGTGGTTTGTAAAACTCAGCATTTTATTCACTGAAATAAGAGTCAGAAACCCGGACTATTTTATTCAATAGGAAAAACTTCTAATGCATCGGTGCTCAAGACAACTGCAGACGTTGCATGAAGGTAATTACAGGATACAGTAGATTTTTTGGTGCTTCATAGATCAGTTTTGATTTTTAATTTGTTGCACTTCACAAGATTAGGTATTTACTAATATCTAAACAAAATTGACTAGCGGAGATTTTGCAATCGGAAGGAACCATCTGGTAACATTTTTCTTTGGCATTTCGCCTTGTCCCATTTTCCAACTGTTGCAAGTCATCTTATCCTCTGAATGGTAATATAAATCTCCTTTCCTTTTCCATTACACAGACACTACTAGCGCTATGATACAAAGTGCATGCCTCTCAATAGCTATGAAGAGATCTGGAGATTTAATTTGCAATCTCTAAATGAACCAAATAACACTGATAAGGTGAAACAGCATGATTTGTAATTCAAACAATGGAAAAAAAGTATGTTCCATTACTGTAAGAAATTATGTTGTTAGAACCAGAATCTGACCCTACAAGCCTGATTACCTTGTCCTGTCCCATAGTTTCAAAGTCATAACAATAATGATTTACAAAGCTTTACACATAATCGACTGGGAGCCCGAGGTTTGGAGGGCTGCGGGAGGGAGAAACAGAGGCAGGGAAGGGAAAGGTGACTCAAAGTGCAGTCGAAGACATAGGTTTTCCACAAAGTAGGGACATAGTTAAGAGTGGGGGCGAGGCTAAGATAGAGAATATTGAATTCAATCCTCGAGGAATGGGGGCTAGTGGAGCTCAGCGAGGATGGGGGTGATGAGATTGCGGAGCTTCACGAGTGAGAGGGCAGGTTTTATAAAACATTTTTTAAAAAAAAGTACTGTATCAGCGATGCAATTTTAAATTCAACTTTAGACTGGGTCTGGTACAACATCTATTTAGCACCTAGCTCCAGTCTTCTCCCTAGCTTTCAATTAACACCGCTGCTAACCGAAAAGACTTACAATACCTGAAATTCTTGACATGGTCTTCTACTCCCGAAAGACGAATAGCATGCTGCAGTGCATTCAAGTAGGTCAGTGCTTGTGTAGAAGAGCCCCAGTTCACATCTATGGAAGAACAATTTTCATTCAATTCCATGCACGATCACATTATTCCAATGCTAAATGTTCCCAGCATTTAATTCATTTTATTCCTACAAATTATCTTTTAATAAATGATAATAATCCTCAGAGAGACTCCTAGATGGAGTTCCAGAGAGCAGGGCAGGATGGCGATCACACGAGGGTCTTGAATACTGTGTATCATGAGCTATGAGCAATGACCAGAGATTAGAAGCTTTTCGAAAACCTATCCCGCATGAAAGGGTGTTTTATATAAATGCAAGTAATTATTGTTGGTGATCAAGTTTCATTCTGTGCTTCCTTCCTTTATCTAATATCATGATTATCACAATTATTTGCAACACCAGAAACTAAATGACCCATTATATGAAATAAAAAACATTCAAATTATTATTAAATACTGCTTTAAACTGTTCAAAGCAGCATTTCAAAGCTGCATTTAATAATAATAATAATAGCAGGTTTGATAGAGTGCCTTATCACATAGTCAAGATGAGTCAAAGAGCTTCATGGAAATTACTGTGAAATGTAGTGACTGTGTACAGAGTATTTTATAGGCAAACGCGGAAGCCAATTTGCACACAGCATTGTCTTCACAAACAGCCATGGAGTGAGGTATCAAATATATTTGAAAGAAATGGAAGAACTAGCCTGTGCAGGGTGTCCACAAAGTCACGTTACTCCCATGTGTGCTTTTTTGCAGTGCACTGACCAACAACTGAAATACGTGGAAGAATGAAGATAATTGTATTTAGAAGTACTTAATTGTATTCAGTACAAGTGTTTAACTGTATTTTGACATCCAGAGGATCAGTGTGAGCACCATCATTGTCATGGCAGATAATGATCCGTCGCTATGTTCAGTGTGACATCTTCTCTAACATGGATGGGGTGACGAGACAAAATGTATCTCGTTTCACTTCCTCCGTAGTTTCAAATCACCGGTTTGTAACAGGGAGTCAGAGATCTTTGTGGACAACCTACAAAAGCCGAGCTCAACGGGCTGAGCGATTCTCTGCAACAATGGGCTTCTTGCTTCTAAGTTCTGACCCTTGAAATGGTTTAAGTGGACAATGGAGTGAGTTTTAGCTTTTTCAAAAAAAGGCAAAAGGTTTCACCACCAGATGGTGCTCCTCCAACCACGGGAGGTAGGTGGGAAAGAACAGTGGTGGTGAACACTGTATTCTTTAGGATTCTAAAACCTACTCGATCTTTAACTAACTTGAAAACACAATTAAACAGAGAGAGATGGATGAGACAACTTTCTCCCTCCCCTGAAACAATGACTCAACATCCACCTTCAGCTCTTTCAAGAAGCTTGAAAATTCAACCCCAAATTCATTAAAAACAAGGGTGCCACAACTATTATCTAACATGGCACTTCTAGGGTATAAACATTGACCGGGTAACAATAGATTTTATATCCAAACATTTTATTATCTAAATATTTACAGCAATTCTTTTTCAATCCCACGGCTGATCTCACAGAGATCCAACATCTTGTCAGGGGTCACAAGGTGTCAGATGGAATAACTGTTTTTGACAATGGAAACCAGGTCATATCACTAAGGATGGGGTTAGGACATCCAACTGCTTGCAAAGCTACATACAGATCCTAAGAACTGGCACAGATCCAAGAAACTCATCGTAACTAGGTAAAGCAATTGCTCTACTTTTTTAAAATTAGTTAACAAAATTGCTGTTCATTCAAGGATTCTGCTATATTATCTGTGACAGCATGTGTTTGTCCTTTTCATATCACAAGATCACAAGATTGCTTTGAATGAAGAAGGTCTTTCGACCCATCTGATTTCTTGCTTCCAGAACACCCCCCGGGTCTGTAGGTGTGATCTAAAAACAGTCCAGCTGCAATAAGGAAGGAAATGTATTTTCCCTTTGTAAAACTGAAAGCTTATGATAAGCCCTAATTGGCCAAATTCTACTGATTTTTCACACAGGAAAAAAGTTAGTAGGAAACAATTTCCTAGGAGGTTTTAAATCATACGCTAAAATTATAGTAGTTATAGTTATTTTTCCTCACTGATGAACAATGTTTCACACACATTTGGAAGTGGCGGGGGGGATGCAGGGAGGGAGGTGGGCAGAAGAGGAGAGAAGGGAGGAAGATGGAATTTGTTCATTGTTTCCTTCCTGATAAACAATGAAGCTCCCTGGCTTTTGTCTGAAAATTCTATGTTTGACAGCAGCCATAAAATAAATGGAAGCAACCAAGAGTCTTCAGAGGTATAATACTGCATGGGCTTAATGGAACGTCAACAAAGTGAAAAGGATTTTTATCCAATAGTCATTTCATTTCGGAAATAAATACTGCAGAAAGGAAATCAGCCTGGGTTCCCTATTCTGACTGCAATTCAGTTGACCTATTTGAACATGGATATCAAGTGAGAACAAGATCATGTAAGGATGTTTGACTGTGATGGTCTGTGATAGGTACCGGCCCAGCTCAGTTCGTAGAACTCTCGCCTTAGAGTCAGAAAATTGCAGGTTCAAGCTCCACAATCAGAACTGTGATCTCATAGGTCTCATAGACTAGCCCAGGTAAAGTCAGTGTCTTCAGGAAAGGTGAGGGCAAATAATGAATGTACAGTACTGAGCAGAATAGCCCCACACCTCTGTGACCTCTCCAGCCTCACCCTCCTGTTCACCTCCCTGCCCAGGTCTACAGTGCATTCCTTGCTCCCTCTGACCAACCATCAGCAATTGACCCAGTCGTTTGTTCCCTATCCTCTGTAGCTCTTTCAAAATCCCTCCACTTCACTTTAAAAGACTTCTTAAAAATCTACTTCTTAATCAACCTTATTTCACCTCCATCCACCCCACCGGTATCATCTCTGTGAAGCACTTTGAAACGTTAGCCTTTGTGAAAAGTGCTATATAAGAGTGTATTATTGTTGGAACACAAGAATATTAGTGAATATTTGCTCCTGTGCTGATAATGGGTTTCAGCGTGAAACATTTATTAGACTCAGAAGTTTTTAAATCGAGAATATCTTAAAGTGAATCATCCTCATAATTGTCCCTGTTGACTAATTTAGAGTTTATGGGTTATTAAGAATGCTAGAAGAATGCGCTTCAGTTTAATACGTCCTAATGGACATGAAAGTTCCTTAAAGGCAATTACTTGACTACAGATGAATAAGTGTTCTCCAGAGAAACCAGGGATATTTTAAGATGTACTTGTTTATTGTTACCAGATTCTCTAGAATACTTGCTACACTAGCTTACCCTTGTGACCAAAAGAACACTGTAAATCATTTGTTTGGATTATGTGGCGTGAACCAGTCAGGCAGACAAAAAGGAAGAGAAAACTACCCGAAAGTTCCATCAGTCACCACCTGATGCTTGGGAACCAGACACAGAAGCCAAGGGTTATCAGCTCACTGAAAGTAACTTATTAAGTTATTAAATAAAGCATTGTCACTCTTCTGTATGATAATCATTTTCAGATAAAACAAAAAAATCCCCCACCTCCACATTACAGTGATGTGACATCACATGTATTCATTGGAGGGAGTAGTGGTATGTGGGACGGGACGGGTGGGGGGGCAGGAGAAAGAGGGCCTTAAAGAGGGAAAGAGAAAGCTATAGGAAAACAAACTTACAGTAAACTCCTGATAATTTGATCCTGGCTTAAATTGTCACTGCCACTGACTCATCGGGTTATCAATATCCCAGCTGCATTTATTTACGTATTTATCCATATGCCTAACTCGCCACTCGGAATAACACATCAACAACAACAACAACAAAATTCTGGACGTATGTTTTACGCACTATCCTGCCCCAACAGCTATGCACTGACCTGCAACATATATTGTCATTAATGTATAAAACATGAAAGCTAAAGCTGCATATACTCTGCTGCAAAAAAACCCTGCCACAGCCTGATGTCATGCAATGCTAATATTTCAACTCTATGTTTGAACGTCAACTGTACAATTAAATTATGTCTATGGGAAAACAGTCAGGAAACGCAGCATCTGGTCACAGGTAATATTTCAGTCAGATTGACAGGCACATTCTGTGTTTTCAGACTTCATTGGACAAGGCCTTACATAGCTCACTAAACAATGAAATGAACCAGATATTTTAGTTAATGAATAGTCAAAAGAAATTGGAAAGATTTGCTTACAGATCACTTGTGTCAACCTCACCTGGCTTTTTGTAGGTGACGTAGATGTACAGAGCGAGGATAATGGCATTGGTTAACAGTGCAGCCCACCAGTTGATGATGAACATCACTCCGCAGCATAAGATAGCACCAACGAGCGAAACCCACATGTTGTAGTACTTAAATGCAGGTCGCCAGCCTAAGCACAAAGTTAGAAGATAGACATCAGAATGTGCGTCAGTGAAATTGTGGAGATTTCACATAATGGAAAATAAACACGAACAGTCTGTTTAAATTTGCGCCATTTGCTGCATGAAACCTAAAGCTGTGTCTAATAAACAGGTAAAAGTCCATAGGTTGTATGACTAGTAAATGCAGTCAGCATTAGACACAAGTATCAGAAAATGATGGGGTGTCATACACACTAATTAAACCAGCTCATTGATCAGTTTGTATCATACACAAAACATGCTTTGCAACTTTTGTTTGAACTTCGTCCTTAATAAATTGGTGAATCTAACTCCATTATGGAGAAAGCAACTGGTAAGCAAAGGAAAGATGGAAAATAAACAGGAAGACTAGACGTTCACTGTATTTATATTTTGCCAGCATTTTTGCAAAAATATTAGGGTGAGAAATCATGAACTTTTTTTTAAATATAAAGGAAATTTAGCTCCAAAAACAAGGAATTTACTGAGTATTCTGGACAGCTGCAAATATTTGCAGGCAAATCAAAGAGACATTCTGTCTACGGCATCCCTCACTTGGATGAGTAAAAGCATGCATCACCTGCCCCAAATTGATTGTATCCAGTAATAAAGTGACAATCACATGGACTGTCACACACAACTTATTGGCAGAAGTTGTATTTTTCATTAAACAGTTTGTTTCTTACCTGGAGATCTAGCAAGTGAGGCATGGAACACGGAGAAGTTGATCAAGGCGTATGAAGCCAGGAAAAAGTTGGATATAATTGGTGCAATGACATTCAGCTCAGCTAAAAAGTAAAACAGATGCATCTTTATAATCAAAATACGCCCAGCGAAATAGTGGAGCCCCATGTTTGAGATCCATATAATCCCAACCCGCGTTATAAGCAAGACGCGATAGTTGGTTTTGACTGGAGTGCAGCTGGTTGGTTTTCGCACTCAAAAAAAACTTCCAGGTCATTACCAACTGTTTCATGTGCAAGCACAAGCAGGAAGCATTTTAATTTGAAGAGGTGGGAGATGTGGGGAAGCAAGCAAAATCTGAGCATGAGCACAGAAAATGGGGCTCACAGTGCAACCATGCTATAAATGAAATTTACGCTATTGTGAAGGCCATTATAAATGGGACTGCGAGTTGTATTACAACTCAGATGAATGGTCCAATGCTAGTTGAGTATTGCCAAAATAAAAATTCTAGCACAAACATCATTTGATGTGCTTAAAAGTCTAAGCTGCCAAATAATCATTTAAATCAAAGACTATATCAGTACTATAAACAGAATGAAATACCTAGTCAAACTACAGCATACTCACCTCATCATACGCCTATTAGAAGCGAGATTTGAATATTTAATTACACCAATTGCAATTTACTGACACAGATGCTACGGGTGGATAATCAAGTGGGACGTTTAACACACGGTACTTTGGCAGTAAGGTTATTAAGGGATAATAATCCTTGCATTTGATATAGAATCAGGACCGAGTTCCAAAGTGCTTCACAGAATATACTGCAAAATGTAGTGACCGTATGTGTGTGGGCGAATGAGGCAGCCAATTTGCGCACTCCAACCTCCCGCAAACCATGAAGTGAACGCCAAATAAAATCGTAGTTTTAGGCATGTGAAAGTTTAAAATTGTTAGTTGACTAACCAATCAGTATGAATCCCAGACCAATGAAGAATGTGAGCAGATAGCCACGCAATGGTTCATTGTTCTTTCCATAGCCAATAGCAAACCCCCGCAGACCGGGATAGATATTGTCTTTGCACAAAGCCTAAACAGAAGAAACAGCTTGGTTACTGGAGTCATCATAACCTACAGCTTGTCTACAAATCCTCTTACTCGCTGTTACAAAAAAAGCAATGTGAGACCACGGAAGAGCTGAAACAAGCTGTCAGACATGCATTTCGCCTCATCACTCCATCATGTTATGTAAGTGACCGATCATGGCCACCGATCATTATCTGTCATGAAAATGTTGCGTCTGGACGTCAAAACATAGTTAAACATTGCACTGAATAAAATTGAGTATTTCTAAATACAATTATTATCATTCTTCCACGTTTCAGTTGTGGGTCAGTGCACTATGTAAAAAAAAAGGGGGTAACAGGACTTTGTGGACACCATTCACAATTGTTTATATTTAAAAAAAATAAAGGATTGCCTGCGAGATTATTAATGTATATTTTCGATGTAAGTTCATCTACACTTCAGAAAGTAGAGAAGTATAAGAGGATATATAATAGTTTTGATTTCTTTCTCTCATGCCATCAGCCTCATTTCTCAAAATTGCAAATGGAAATTTGAATCAGAAAAACCCAAGTCCCTTGACCCCCACTTGCCATCATGAGTTGAGTGGGTTTAGGGTGGTGAGAATAGAAGGTAGAGTCTCATATACCTGCACTGCCCCTACCGCAAAATCTAGTGTTAGCAAACAGTATGTGTTGGACTACCTTGTAAACAGTGAATCAGTATTAATTTCTACCACTAGAGGAACTATTTACATTCATTATCGGAAATGTAGAAGTGAAACTGTAATGTTGGTTTAAAGGATTGTAGTTGCGTCCATGGGCAGGTAGAATCGAGTTCACATCTTCACTCAAACAACACTTTTAATAATAATAATCCCTGCATTTGATATAGCACCTCATCATAACTTCCAGAAGTCTCAAAACGCTTCTCAAGTCTCAAGTGAATTGACCTTATGTTTTGTGGGTGAAACGCGACAGCCAATTGCACACAGCAGATTTCTACAAACAGTCGTGGATTAAATGGCCAATTTGTTTTAAGGGAATATTACTTCTGGAAAAGCCATCTGCCAATCGACTAACAACCGGGTTCCTACTTACTGCTAGATAAACAGAGGCGTGCGGAGTAAGGAAACTTGCCCAACGTTTTGCCCTGCCCTGGAATCGAACCCAGGTCCTTTCGCTTGCAAGGAGAGTGCTCTAACCACTAAGCTCCATAGTGCACCCGCCTTATAACAGTATTCTACCTGATTTATTTATCTTTTGAACTGAATTAGCAAATGTGGGACAATAAATGGATACAATGTGGTTGGATTATTGGAATCCATCCAATAAAATCTGTGCACGTGAGGCTTTTAATGATTAAAGCTCATGGAATTAAACAACTAGTGGGAAGTGTTATTTATTCAATCTCCCTCCCCCACCTCACAGTATTTAAGATCATTTTATTGACATCACTTGGTTGGAAAAGGTAGTTTATAATCAAAGCATTTCCCTGAGCTATAGCCTCAGCATTGGCACATTCCTCTCACTCACCAGCTCTATAACAAGCTGCTCGAGTCTTAGATGATCTAATCCTTCTATGTGCTAAATTAAAATGGACAAGTTCACATAATTGCTTCCAATATCAGTGTACCTGATGAGTGCAATGTTAGTTAACAAAGTTTAATAAGGATATGATTTGAACTGTAAAGCTAAGGTCCGGTTAGTACAGAGACAGAAAAAAACAGCACTGTGGGTTTCAGTGTTTTACAACAACACAGTTCTCTCACTGGGAACACCACCAATTATTGTCGTACCACAACGGCAGTGCCCTTGAAAATGATCTCGATGTTGAGAACCAAGCTGAGCCATGCAGCGATCAAACAGGCACAAGGTGATGCACACTTTACCATGCATGTGAATGACATTATACAAATGTAATCTTGTTGTTGTATTATGGGACGGATAAATCAATGCAGTAATTTGTTTCTGTATTAGCAGATGACTAGAGTGTTCCGGGACTCTTCCCCACATGAAGGGTGCTGTATAAATGCAAGTTGTTGTTGTTCAGCTTTAGATAGGTACATACAATAGAAGTCAATCTGTTCCAATTCTCTTTAGGGTTTCAAGGGTTTGTTCTCTTAACTAGTTGAAGATTTCACATTGGTATGGAGATGGGCAATTTTTCCTTCCGCTGCGTTCGATTAAATACATTGTGGCTAGATACTCATAGGACCATAGTCTGAAGGTAACCAACACACAAAACCATTCACCACCACCAATCTAGCTACCTCACGAATTTCATGTAAATATGAGCAATACTCAGATATCAGACGAGCAACACTTGAGTTAAAAATCTAATGTGCTACTTTGTGTCAAAAATGTGAAAATCTAGCTGTTTCACATGGTGCGTTGCTATTTGCCTCATCTTAAAGAAGTCAGCAAGTTTGTTAGTGGCAGTGATCTCCCTCCCCATTTAAATGCATGCTGGTCACTTCTTATTGAAGGAAATCTGAGGCCTGACCTTTAAAACAGATGCCAGTTATTTTTACACATCACTGATGTAAACAAATAGGTCTGTAACTGCATAGGTCAGATTGGCCTTTTAAAATGCAGCTTCCAGTCCTAAATCTCACCTATTCCACTGTTCTTCCAAGACAATAACTGGTGACACAAATATTCTTCCTGATCTCCCCCAGCAGAGCAGGGCTTAAACCATATTGCCTAAGTTACTGGTTAGTCTCAAGACCCCAACTATACAAGCATCACATTGACATCAAACCCTCTAGTATAATAGGTACCCACCTATTAACTGACAACTTAATAATACTGCATTGAATGAATATACATCAGAGTAAACCTTAAACCACAGATTACTGGGTGAGAGTTCTAGTACTCTGATCTGATATGCATTACGAACACAACAGTCAAATCCTTAAAAAACAATCCCAAATTGTCTGCAAGAATATTCAGGACACTGGTTGACACTACTGAGGACTTACCTGGAATATTTTGGGAGCGCTCACTAGTGAGGCCAGGGCAGAGGAGAGTGTGGCTGAAAAGATCCCTGCAGTAATCAGAGGTGCGAATCCTGACACCGTGCTCATGACCTAAGAAAAGGCACAGTTTAAATTAAAATCAGCTCCCTCTCCTTCAACAATCTTCCCATATCATGAAGACCGACAGGCAGATCCCAAAATGTTATTCACTGCATGCGGTCATAGGTTCAGTTTGCAATTAAAACATTACTTCCAACGTGCACAACAATGCAACCTAATAATAATATTGCTTGCAGTGGATTGATTGTGTAATCTGTGGGTGGAACGTGGCAGCCAGTTTGCACACAGCAATGTCCCACAAACAGTAAGATGCCATAGGCACAGTTGAAGAGATGGGTCTCAAGGTGGGATTTAAAGATAGATAGAGGGGGCGAGGCAAAGGGATTGAGACAGGTAGTACCAGAGGTTAGGGGCACAGTGAAGGAAGCAAGCAGGATACGTCATCTGTTCTTGAAAGCCAAACTGTGGTATGAAAACACTGTGATAACAATAGCAAAGTGAATGCTGTCAGATGCCCTGTGGTCCTCAGTCTCGTCTATTGCCTGTGCTCTTTCAAGACAGTTTATTTTTAGCTTTCTGAACTGTAGACACAATTGTAGACACCTCACATCAGGGTACATGTTAATTTTTCTCGGTGAATGCAATTCTTTTCATAATTTGTATTCTTAACAAAAGTCTCAAAAAGGGAATAGTCTTGAAATAAAGAGGTTAAACAAGGTACTCTAATACATTGGATCAGGAAGCAGTAAGCAGCGGGTGGTTTTGGATCCAAGATTCTTACAATCTGTCAAAAACAGGAGTGTGGAAATTATTACACAGTTCTCTAGAAGGAGAATATATGTTTGCAATCATCTCCTACTTAGACAAGCAGTGATGACCTCCCACTGGTTTGAAGAAAGGAGTCAGCCTCCCACTAGGTTCACCTGACCTCCAGGCAGGATGAAAATTGGTCAAAGCAGGAGTCGGTCACATACCAGATGCAAGTTGTGTCTTAAATTAGATGCATGGTACAAGACAGAAATGCAGTTCTTTTTCCTTTACCAGTGTTCTATTTAGAGCTAAAGCAGAGAGTCACTCCTCTCTTTTTTTGATATATAATTCCATAAAGGAAACCTATGTTGATTACCCCATCCCATCTTTTGAATTGATAAGGTTTCCCACGTGCAAAATTAACATGCTTAAAATTAGTGATGCAAGAGGGAGAGAGGTGGGCAAAGGAGAAACAACAAAAGAAAGCTTAAGAAGTCTGTGTATGGGGGAGGAACCTTTCTTTAATAGAGGAAGGAAGGATCTCAACAGAAATGGGACCTCAAGGGGAAACCACACAACTACACAAGTTCCTGTTTAAACGCCATGATAAAACTTACAAAGCCGAAGGATAAGTAGTACAACGTCACCATCATCAAAAACTTAATTTGGAATAAATAATATTAGCACAAATTCCATCCCTAGTTTTGAGAACTGTATAATTGATCCACAGTCACATGACATCTGGTTAGTGACCACAGAGACTATGAATTTCAAGCCGAATCTCTTTTGCCATTTGAAAATTTAAAATCAGAAAGAAAGTCAGGGTAGAGAAATGTTCCCAATTTTTAAAACTTTAGAACTAAAGTTAGGCCGAATATCAGAACAACCACATTTGGACACATCATCAAAAACTTAAACTTAAAGTTGAACTATCAGCTCTTGAAATCTACATTTGTGTGTGTCTGGAAATTGCATACTTTGGATATTAAAAACAAAATCCCAGTTTCCAATGAGTCATACCCTCACAAGCTGTGATGGGAAGGAATAGCAGCAGAACATCAGTCAGTGCAGCTTTAAACAATAGACCCACAAGGACTCGACACACGCATTATAACTGCACAAAAGGAGGTTAAAAATAGAACCTATTGCCCAGTTCTATTTTTGAAATTGTTCAAGAAAAGCTTGCTTTTCCTGCGAGGTTCAAGGACATGCAACAAAGCTTACAGATGCCTTTTCAACTTTAACCCTCGATGCTTTATTTCATCTCCCTGCACAGTGCTGCAGACAGAGGGAAAAAAAATCAATCTATAAATTATATGCGTGACGCAAGTGCAGTGCCTCACACACCACTACACAAATTAATCACTACAGCCAGCGGTACTGCAATATTTGGATTGAAGTAACAGAAGCTTCGCTCTTCCAGTTTAAGTGGAACATTCTTTGCTTCCATTTCAATCTCTTCATCCTCATCCAAGAGAGGATTCTGGATGCTCGAAAGTGAACAACCTTCACCACAATAATAGATAAATAAAAAATTCTTCCACTTGGTATCGCGTCTTTTACATTGGGAGAATGTCTAAAAGCCCTTCACAGGATATACTGTAAAGTGTGGTGACTGAATTTTTTAGGCAAATGTTCTCTATAGTGGATGCGGTCAATTTGAACAGATCTGTACATATTTTGCCTCTCAGCCCCGAGGCTCTGGAACTCTATCCCCCAGTGCCTTCGCCGCCTCCTCCCTTTCCTCCTTCAAGGCCGGTCTCAAGACCTTTCTCTTTGACCGTGCCTTCAGCTCCCCTCTCGACTCTCTACCCCCTCCTCACTCCCTCCCTTCCCTCCCCTCACCCTGACCATTTCCCCCTGCTCGGGTCCTGACCCAACTGTACAGCGCCTTGGGACGTCCTCCCGACGTGAAAGGCGCTCTATAAATGGAATCTTGTTGTTGTTGTACATATGGCAATCTAAAAATGTTGTTGTGATTCTTTAATACAGCCAGATCGATCTAAAAAAATGTGGAAAAATATTTGTGGCTCTCTCTCTTTGAACCTTGTAGCTCGGATCCCAAATAAAGAACAGAATCCTCCCACTACAATGCTGAGACTTCCAAACTGCGTACAGTGCAGTTCCCACAGGAGATGCATATTGTTTGTGGAAATGCACACGCTGTTGCTTTCAAAGCACCTTCAGGCTTCAAGCATCTCTCTTCAGTAAAAACACTGCACAAATGTGCATTGTTTTAATAACCTGCATGGAAATCACAGCCGAATGGTAGGTTAGAACACTTACATCATGCTGGCACATTTTGAGAGGCGAACAGAGTAAATGATACCGAATGGCAGTCTTGTGATAATGTCAAGGAAAAGCCTTGTGTGCAACTTTAAAATGAAACACATTCCATCAAAAAGTAGCATCCTTTGCAAGGCAGATGCTCAAACTCAACCTGATTTTAACAAGAAACGACCAGACCTCATACTAGTCCAATCAAAAACATAGGTTACTGATGTATGATAGGAAAATCCTTTAACGCAAGCTGGGTGGTTTACTAACTAAATGAAATGTACTGTAATATTATACACATTTGTTATTGAAACACAAGGCAGTAATTATACACAGCAATAGTAATTCTCAGGGCTTTTCATAAATGCTAAAATATTGAAGATGTGCATGCTTTTTAAAAAATTTGTTTGTAGAAAATCGAGTTAAAATTGTCACACATTGACACTATCGGCCCAGGCGGGGTGAAACCTTACACCTCTGTTTACCTAGCAATAAGAAGGAACCCAGTTGTTAATCAACTGGCAGTTCACTTTCCAGGGGTAATAAGCCATAAAAAAAAATTGGTCACTTAATCCATGACCGTTTGTGAGACACTCCAGTGCGAAACTGGTTGCCGCGTTTCGCCCACAAATAGTCAATCCACTTTACAGTATATTCTGTGAAGCATTTTAAGATGTCTCAAAGACGTAATAAGATGCTATCAACAACAAATTATATTTCCTTACTCCACACGTCTAATAATAATCCCTCCAAAACCAAAAACAATAATAAATTGGTCATTTTCAATCTACGACTGTTTGTGGGACATTGCTGTGCGCAATTGGCTGCCGTGTTCGCCCACAAATATATAGTCAATTCACTTTACAATGTGTTCTGTGAAGCGCTTTGGGACGTCCTCCCGACGTGAAAAGCACTTTATCAAATGCAAAGATTATTATTATTATTATATTTGTATAGTGTCTTTCACGTTGGGAGGACATCCCAATGCACTGGACAGTCAGGATTTGGACCTGAGCAGGGGGTGGAATCAGGAGGGGTGGAGGGCAGAGAGGGTAGGGGTAGGAGGTGTGGTCAAAGAGAAGGGTCTTGAGACATGTCTTGAAGGAGGCAAGGGCGGGAGCAAGGTGAAGGGACTGTGGGATGGAGTTCCAAAAGGTTGGGGCAGAGAGGCTGAAGGCCCGACTGATGTGGAAAGGGCCAGAGCCTGCTGAGAGGACAGGTCAATATGGCATTTGATATATCAAATGCAAGGATTATTATTATTAAATTATAGTACATTGAGTAACTTGTACATACAGGTTCCTTCCACTTCTGGTTGGATTTTTAGCAGGATTTAATGTTATAAGACTTTGTATTAAATTATACACAAATGTTGCAGACAAGGTCCAGTACAGGACCTCAGTTTAACTCATTACATCATCAGTAGTACATTAGTTGTCCTTGTGGACTGTGACTGAAACTTTTGGCATTGAGCCATAAACTTTCGATTCAGAGCGAGTGCTACCAACAAAACCAATGTTGCCTCCACGGCCTTTAATTTGCCTACTGGGATACGCTAACATACGGTAAAAGCTCGCATAAGTCTGGTCTGTAAAAATCATATAATTGCCTAAGTCACACATCTGCCCGTGTCGTGTTGAATTTCCTAATAATTATAAGTTTCACATAACTCATACTTTGCATAAGTCATATTAAATGTGAGGTTTACTGTAATAATCCTTGTGTTTGAATATAGCACCATATCACATCAAAATGTCTCAAAGGCCTGCAGAGTTTTTCTGTAAAGTGCAGTAATTGTTTATTTTTAGACAATACAGTCAATTTGGGGTATAGCAACATCCCACAAATAGCCATAAAGTGAATTGCACTTTACTTATTGCAAAAGGGATTAAGGGATATGGGGATAAGGCAGGGTTATGGTATTAGCTGGAGTTAGATTAGAAGATCAGCAATGATTGAATGGCGGGGCAGGCTCGAAGGGCCGAATGGCCTACTCCTGCTCCTACATGTTGTTATGTTATATT